TTTTAGGTTAGGTTTAACTTTAGTTGTAATACAAACACAAAAATACTTACAATTCTTTGCAATACTATTTCCAATGATATTTTACTCGTTTAAATATTGATACTAGCACTTGTTTGTACACTTGTTTGCAAATAATAAAATCTAACGAAAATTTTAGGTTAGATTTAGGTTTAGTTTTAGTATAAAATTAAAAGTAAATACTTCAAATTGTTGACGACGCCTTTCCAAATTATGTTACTTTTTTATATAATCTTTTTCAATAGATTAAAGTGTGAAAAAGCCCGATATACCGAACAAAGAATAAATTATTACCGTTTATTTTGTATATTTATGGATGCAAAGTTATTATCAAATTGTTATCATAGAGAACTTGAAATAAAAGAACAAGAAATCGAAAAGCAGCGATAAGATTATCATCAAGAAATAACGTTGCAACTACCGACAAGTGGAAGAAATACCGGAAAAGGTACCGCCTGCAGGAAGCACAGCCGCAAATTCCTCGCGGTAATAATTTCCTCGGCGTGGTGTGAGCAGCCTGCTGACATTTCCCACTCATTTTTCTTCTATTTCCGGTAGGATATTCCTAAAGATATAGAACATGTTGTGCTGCGACTTAATGTTGCTAAGTATAAAATATACGATAAGTGGAACATTACGGGTGAACAACGTAATTTGATCAGCTTGAATATTTCACACGGAAAGATACCAAAAGACAAAAATGTTTATTTTGAAGGGGCAAATGTTATGTAAAACAAAAAAGTTGTTTTTAACGTCATAATTTTCGAGATTTCAAGGTCATCAATGTTTTTTTAAATAGGTTTGCATAATTTTATCATCGTGGTGTAATAGCTCAGGTTAAAATCAATCCATGGACTTTGAGTATGATGACCTTGAAATCTGGGAAAATGTCACCTTAAAAAAATTTTTTGTTTTTCATAATATTTGTTATTTCTTCAAACAAAATGCTACTTTTATTCGATACTTTTTCTTATCTTTAAAAATAATTAAGATATTCACGATGATCAACTTGTTCGCCCTGTATACCAGCTATCAAATATTGATTACCAATAGCCAATGACGGATCGATAGAAGGGTAATGAGGGTAATCTCTAGAAGTTACGAAATCTTGAAAAGGAAATTAATTTATATCGTAGAATAAAGTTGCTTCTACTAGTATTTTAATTTTATTACACTATAGTACTCGCTCTTCGAGATTACATATGCAGCATGCTTTTCTAGCCACGGAAATACACATGTTTCAGAGTGTTTAAAAATTAACAGATGGCACAGCCGTTCCCCTCCCCATGCGCCATCTTTCCTCATTGCTTTTTCGTGTGTCGAAGAAAGCACATGGTGTATCGAGTGTATCGGATTTTTAATAAAGTTTTTTAGACAAGAAAATGGGAAAATTTAAGAGGAGAAGGAGGTCGGAAGAAGAGGAAGAGCATCTTCGAAAGAAATGAGCAAAGATACAGGCTAAATTAGCCAAAACTACTTCGAAGGAGAGCTCTATATTATCGGATAACCGAGAGGTTATGGGCATAGCCCGAATTACCACAAATGAGATAAGTCCACGGAACTCTCCATTGGCAGTATCAGATAAGAGAAATATATAAGTGTAAAAAAAAAAAAAAAAAAAAGAAATCGAGGCGATGACTTTGACTAGAGGTAGAGACTTCTTCTGGTAGAACTTATCTTTAAGGACAGTCATCCAGAATGATTTATTGCCTAGTATATACATAGGTGATCTGACAGAAGTGGCTGATAAGGAAAATTCAGATCCTTCTCTTAATTCGGGATCGCAAGCTGCGTCGCAGACACAGATAGACGAAAATCTTACATCAAACCAACCACTCAAGTTAGACGAAGTTCTTCGTGCACTTGATACTTCTGTCAAGACTGAAAAAGAGAAAATGAAAGTGCACCCAGATTTGACAGCTATGTTAGTGGACAACGACTGATCATGTAAAAGATATAAATGAAACATTGCTGCGCAGATACCCCCGTCTTATCGAAGATTGTTTGATTGAGGCCCCTAAACTCAACCCTGAAACATTCTCATATAACATTGATCGAACTTCACGTACAGGTAAGTTCGTTTGATCGATTTATTATACGTATACATACATATATTTTTTGAAATAAAATGAATTGTTTAATTACACGTACTATAACTATTTTATTCAATAGCGTAATCATAGTTATCCAACAGGTGGGTGAAGAAACCTACCTTCTTATCATTAATGTTGAGGATGATCTTTTCATGCTTTTTCTGTGATGAAGCGGGAGACGGAAGCAAGCTTTGTTCTGCTGTCTCTCTCTCCTTTTTCTTTTGCGCAGCGCTTCATGCCTACCGGCTACCGTTACGCGTTTAGTCAGTTAGCCACAAGCAAGCGTCATATGCAGAGCAAGTGTTATAGTTTAAAAATTCCTAGACACAATAAAATAAGCTTCAAGTCATTTATTTGCTTTATTGCTTTTTCAATCCACTGTCGCAACAATTAGTATTATAATAATATTTTCTTCATTCCTATTTATTCTCAACAACGTGTTCTGAAATTTTTAAACATATTTCAATACTTATATCAAAAAAAAAGGTTTTTAATTTCTTAATAGAGGGGCTAATTGATCCTTCTGATATCCCCCCCCCTCCAAATGCACTTTTAGATTAGTTTTTGTAATGCATGATTATGCAATTTAATTATTTAGGTTATTATCGAATACAGATGTTAATAAGTAAACTATAAACAGATTTCAAATCAATAGTTACTGAATTTTTTTGAAAACTTTTGATATAGTGAGAATTGTATAATTGTCAACAGGGAGACATTATACCTGTCCTATGGTACATCACTGGTCAGTTTTGAACCCAAGTCTCGTTAACGCACATGATAAATAGGCGGAACAAAAGACGTTTTTGAAAATTTTTTTAAAGCAACTAATGAAATATAAAAATTTTCCGTTTTATGATACATACATGATCAATATTGGAGAAGATATAAAAAATGTGTTTAATAGTTTTGGTAATGTTATGGCTATTGTACACAATTTTAAATCAGTCGCCTCTATAAAAACATTGTCGTGGCGTTGACAACAAGTTGACCTTACATTTTACCTGACACACAGAAACCAAAAAATATTTAGAAACTATATGTGATTCACTATTACAGCACGTAGGGAAATTGAAAAACTTTTAGATAATGGTAGATAATCAATATATGTGGATGCCTCCATTATTGATAGACTATATATGTAGGAGTGAAACATTTGATGCGCGATGGCCGTTGCCAGGCAGTCCTTTCCAGAAGGCATAGGATTGTTCCCGAAAAGTCTAGAAGCGGGAAAACAAATAAAAAGCGCAGAGGCAACGGGCCTCGAGACATTAGTTGTCGAGCCATGAGCGCTCGATGTATTTTTTTAAAATTTATAATTAAACATTTCTTTGAATGCAAATAAGATATTCGACCTTCTGCCCGTCCCAATCCTACATATATGTTATCGACGATTAATTTAATTAGTTATATCTGCCGTCACCAGAGTCCATAACTGCGAAAAGACGTGTTTTCGTCCTTTTGTGCGCATGTTCGGCCTGATTGGCTATAATCCCATTCCCATACGCTTGCGCAGAACATCGCTGAAGCGCCTCCACGCGGTGCATCTACGCAAAAGCGCATCATTTGGAGTGTATAGCGGGTAGCCAGTGCGTGTATTATCGAAGTGTCTTGTATTTTTTTGAGTTTTTTTGTTGTGTATTACATTAATTTGGCTGAACTTTACCTCAGGGGCCCAAAAATTATGGCCTTTTTTAACCGACTTCGAAAAGGAGGAGGTTACTCAATTCGATCAGTATGTTTTTTTTTTTGTGTTCACCGATCACTCTGAGATGGATGGACCAATCAGAACGAAACCTTTTGCATCTTGTAGGGTATGTCTTCCGATTGGTCCCATTGAAAAAAATTTTTCATTTTTTCATTGTTATTGCAAAATACAAGAAGTTTTTAATCTCAAGATTGGACGATTTCAATGACCTTTTAATATGTTGTCGGGGACATGATTCTGAACAACTTTTTTATTATGCATAATTAACGGAAAGTTTTAGTTTCCGAGATATTCGTGAAAAACTATTGTTACTACAGTACATTGCTTCGAAATAAGCAACTCGCTATCACCTCTTCTTTGTTTGAAGTCGCCCACAAAGTGAGAGATACGAGAAATGAGTGAGAGGTTCATGAAAGCGCGAAGCCGATGTTTAGGATAATAAATTTCACACTCGACTGAGCAGTGACATCGGTTAGTAGAAGAAGGATGGAATATATATAATGCTTTCTCAGTTTGGTATATTTACTTCGAAATAAAGCATAGTGCGAGGATGAGAGGGCATGCTATGTTCTATCCTTGTTCAAAAAATAACATCGCTGCTCGACCGATCACTTTATGATTTGCCGCTACCTCGGATCTCTCACTCGTTTCTCGCGTTCTCTATCGTCTCGTTTCGAAAACGAAGTCAAGCCGAATAGCAACCTGCTTCGAAATAAGCAACTGTTCGGTCCCGAGCCACTTGCTTATTTCGAGGCAATACTGTACTGCTCGTTCCACTAAAAAGTGTGAAATAAAATAATTTTTAACAAAAAATACAACCGACTTCGAAATGCACTAAAAAGTATGAAATAATTTCTACTTCATTTATACAAATACCCAACAGCTATTAATAAAAGCTATTTACTCGTTAAATCGTATACTAAATACATTTCAACCTTTTCGGAGGCGGCGCAAAATTAAAAACTTTCTTCTACTAGTTCAGGCGTCAGCAACCTATCAAATCGTTATTGACAGCATCGTATATTCGGGTATTATTAATTTTGCGCCGCCTCCGAAAAGGTTGAAATGTATTTAGTATACTATTTAACGAGTGAATAGGTTTTATTAATAGCTGTTGGGTATTTGTATAAATGAAGTAGAAATTATTTCTTACTTTTTAGTGCATTTCGAAGTCGGTTGTATTTTTTGTTAAAAATGATTTTATTTTTTACCTTCTTGAAGTATTTTACGAGTAGAGTCTAAAAATCCTAGTTTTAAGGCACGGAATCCATCGGTTCAGAAGTTATACGTGGCGGCCGTTTAGGCGAACATTTGAATGAAATGTCTTTTGTCACATTTTAATAAAATGTCTTTTGTTACATTTTTCACGTGTTTTGTTGTACTACCTGTAGCTTGCATTGTTTCTCCGCCTGTACCTCGCGATTCTGGTCTTTTCCTAAAGTTTTCCTTTATCATGCAAAGTATTAAATGGAAGTTTACCAATTTGCCTCAGTCGACAGAAGCGGCTGTTGCATGGGCTCGCGAACATAGATTATTGCGGGTGACTAAAATGTGCCGTGTTCATCGGAAGACGATGAAATGGTTTGCACCAGATCACAGAATTGGTCGCTTTCGATGTGTCGTTAGTCGCGACAAATGCAAACAATTTGCGGCGACCATAGATTCCTTTTTTGAAGATTAATTAATGCATTCTTCAAACTGTTTCCAATGTTACTTATTTTTTTAAGATTGATTTATTGCTTTTCACGAGATTTTTCGTACGAGTATACGATACATGAGTTATACGATATTGAAAACAACTCCACTTTGTTATCGTCTGCAACAATTGCGACATGGTTTCAGTACTGTCGGGAAACGGTACTGGACCATTTCTCCAGTATTCAAAATGGAAAACCAAAATTAGGCGAAGGTACGGAATCGGGGTCTCCTATTATATGTAGTTCAGGTACTTTATGTTACAATTCGATATTCTTATATTTTTGTATGATTTCTTATTCCGTTTGATTTCTGCAATTTTTATGTTATTTGAAAGATTGACGAAGCAAAATTTGGTAAGAGAAAGTATAACCGTGGCCGGAGAGTTGAGAGCCATTGGGTCTTAGGCATGGTGGATACTTATACTAAAGATTGCCGAATGATGCTTGTTGAAAATCGTGAAGCGGCAACCCTAATTCCCATAATTAAAGAAAACGTTATCGCCAGTAGTGAAATTCACACTGACTGCTGCAGAAGGTACGTAGGACTTGCCGAAGAAAGCTTTCGTCTAAATTCGTCTAAACTTGGCTTTCATTCGATTTCTATTATAATTGGCATTTTTTACTATTTCTAGGGTTAGGGTTAGGGTTAGTTCCCGGACCACCTGGTCAGTGTCCAACAAGAAGAAATCCATCAGGAAAGGTAAGCTCGCGTTATAAAGATATGTATATAATTTTCGTCATTTCGATACCGTAAGTGCGAAACATTTCTTTTTTGTTTACATAAAATATGTATATTTGAAATCATACTTTGTGTAGTGTGGTGACATGTACAAAACTTTGTTCTTTTTGTAGTTCGTTCGATCTTCGCAAAAGATGATCATTATAAATCTGTACAAAAGTCTGAAGGAGGAACGTTCAGATATGAAGTACAGACCGCTAATAGAATTGCTCTCCAAACGGACCGGAATCGGCCAGTTGACTTGTCCGAATACAAATCAACAGGCACCGTAACGTCTCCAAATAAGAAGAGACCCCGGATGAATGTTTTGGAGAAGACGTCCAAGGATGCGATATTAGGCATAAGGAGAAAAGTGCATGAGTTTTGGTTTCGGCGCGAAATTCCACGCATGAAGAAAATGTTGGAACAGACAGGTAAAAAATTTAATAAAGCGTCTACAAAACTGTTCATACCTAATCCAGGAGAAACGTGAAATAAATTCTAGGGAGGACTGTATAAAGATTCATTCTATTGTACATCATCAACTATCCTCCCCAATATTTGTAAAAAAGGCTTGTAAAAGTATGCATGGTTTGCGTCCAAACTCTCTGATACAAGAGAAGTATTTGTTAATGTAAATGAAGTATGTTTTCCGGTAGACGTCTTCAAAAAAGCGTGCTCTTGCATGAATGCTGCGTTTATATTGTGTGCTAGATTTCGCAACAATTACTGTTTCCCATGTTTTTACGACAAATATCACACTAGATCGTGTCATTAATCAGAATGTGCAATAATACAGTGAATATAACATGTATTATTTTTATGTTCGATTTTTTTCCCAATGCCCACAAAAAAAAAGTATCGAAAAAATTATCGAGAGCAGGACTCGAACCAGCAACCTACTGATTACCAGTACTTTACGTTACGCCATCACCCATTTGAAGCGTTGTTTAATTTTATACGCCAACTGTTTATAACGGAGTACAGCGATTTTTATGCAATTTTCATGCAATTTTCTCGGAAAATCTTGAGAGACGCGCGCTACTGCTTTGCCAAATTAAATTTGGAGAGGACATCTTCAAATACTGCAAGTTTCAAGAAAATGCGTTTCCCGTCGATCGCGCCCTCTCCTTGTTAGAAATAAGAAATTGATTCATGGGAACATTGTGAAAGGAATAAATACATTTTTACAACTAAATAATTATCATCTTCAATATTTAATAAAACGAATTTTAAGGCAAAATACGTTTGTTTTAATTTTCGATGGATGCTTCTAATGTAAGTATGTATTCGTTCCTTCAATATTCCCTTTGCCATAAATCTTTAACTATTGAGAATATTAAAAAATGATTCGAGTAAATGTTATCCACTTTGATAAAAGCTACTTAAATAAAAAGAAATTAGTATAGCATTCCACTTAAGAAAAACGGCGTCAGTTTATTCTGATTCTATGCTAGCCATTTTAGAAAAGTTTTTTATACACCACACAATCAGGTATAATTTAAAAAGGAATTAGATCGATAGCTGCTATAATTTCCGAGATAATAGTTTGTAACACTTTATCTGACTCACCCTGTATTTTATTTTAAATTGGCATGTAAAGGAAGATAATTACCCAATATTTGCCGATAATAATCTTCTTTTTGTTAGTGTAAAAATATTACTAGTTTTAAATAGTGTCTATAGGTACTTCTAATTCGCGCTCATATTCAACAAAGCACGTCCTAAAACGTGATTTGGATACTCGAAATCTCGGAAATCCTCATATTCTTATGCTATGAGGTACTTTCGAAAACTCGACCCGTCCTGAATATCGGGTACCTAGAATCTTAGATCCTCGCACATGCTTAATATTTATACGTTTTAGAACATATCCTGTATAATTTTATGCGTAAGGTCAATTTTCGTCATGTTACGGTTGGATGCCAGTATTAATCCATAAATATTCAAAAATTGAGATGTTAATATAATTTTTTTTTCTTAAAATAACAACAAAAGTTTTCTTAGGTGAAAAGTCGCGATTTTTGCTCATTTCAATAATTTATAATTTCTAAATGATTGAGATTTTCAGCATGTATACAACTTATGTTTACAATAGGTATATTTTGAATTTTCATCATAGGCTCAGTTAAAAAATTTATAAAACGCATCGTTAACTATTTGTTATTATTTGCGTTTTCGACATGTTGTCATTTTTTAAAACGACAAAAGTACTGTTCGTTGCTGGTAAGTTGCCGTCCAATCAAATTCGTTGACGTACCTCCAGTCACAGGTATTATGTTTATTGGCCGAGGCCCTTACATCCGCAAATCTATCGCGTGACGAACGTCGCTAAGGACAGAGCGATAGATTCGGCGACGATTCGGGCACATTGAGGTAGACGTAGATTCGGGGTTTACATTATTAAGAAAACTGGAGAGTTTTTACACTTTCCATAAATTTTGCATAATAACAACTATTGTCAAGAACGAGTATTATAAAAAATCCACTAATATCCCGAAAAAATCGCACGTTTATATAGTTAAATGTATCTTCCGCGAATATGGAAATTTTACGCCTATGCAATGTGAACGCTGAGTTCTCAAGTTACGGGTTCCTAGAGGGGATTAGGTGGAGGGAACGCACAGTCCCCTTGCCCTTCTGTCGGATCAGTTTGTTGGTGCTCGACAACTTACCAGCAACGAACAGTACTGTGCAGGGGCAAGGGGGGACCCTCGTTTGCTCCGCCAATTCCCGCCATTTGACGCTTTCGTAACTCTAACGTTTGGGTTTTTAACGTCGCACGTTACATAGGCGTAGGATTTCTGTATTTACGAGGGTCGGGTTTTCTGACCTACCGTTAATCATTTCGTACTTTATTTAATATATTTAATATATCATTTCGTACTTAAAAAAAAACTCAAGTGGTTTAGTTCAATTTCGAAAAAATTGTACTTGTTTTAAAATATATGCCACTACTTTTCGGATCCACTGTATGTCTACGCCAATGCTTGCCTTGCACTATCTCACTCAGTCTCGATACGTCTCATAGACATTCTTCGTCACACGAAAATGCGTGTGAAATAAGGTGTCTTCTTTCCGTTTGGACCGATCAGATTTTCGGCCTTCTCATGGGACTTCTGTTCATCAATACACAGTACATCACTATAGCTTCTCAAAAAATCTAGTCAATTGGTCCAATTTTGAAAAAGGTATTCTGATTTACCTAAATAATGTTCCTGTACTTGTGTCTGTTACTGTATATGTTTATTTAAGTTGATTGCATTTTAATCGAAGAGGAACTAAAAAAATGGATCAAAAGTAGTACATATACGTAATATTGTATTTTGCATATTATAATATTGGAAATGTCAAGTTCCATAACACTCATTAACCGACTTCGAAAAGGAGGAGGTTACTCAGTTCGATCAGTATGTTTTTTTTTTTCACCGATTACATACTCCGAGATGGATGACCCAATCGGAACGAAACCTTATGCATCTTGTACGGTATGTCTTCCCATTGGTCCCATTAAAAAAAATTTTTTCATTTTTTCATTGTTATTGCAAAATACAGGAAGTTTTTAATGTCAAGATTGGACGATTTCAATGACCTTTTAATATTTTAAAGAATATGTTTTACTTTCTGATTTTGTGCTGTTATTGAATTAACGTATACCAAAATTTGCATAGATGTAGATGCACGATTTTCATTTTAAGTGACTATGCATCTCATTTACTCTCTTCATTACACGATGCAATTAGTAGATGCGACCTCTTGGATCAATAACGAAAATGTGTGAACATATACCGTCTTTCTGATTGCATTTGAATATAACGATCTATTATGCTGCAACGAAACAGACCCGCATTTCTTGCAAGTGCCAACTTTACAGCTCATTAGCATTAATAGCGGTTAAGCTTGCTACTTTAAATAGTACATGCAAATTGCTTAATTTCCTGATGTACGATATTAAATGCAAAACTTGTAACGCATAGTTAAGAATTTTCTGAAAAAGTTGTGGTCATTTATTCTTACTCGTAAGGAAAGATCCCCAATCTGGAAATTCAGAAACTTATGAAACCTTGGGGATACGTAGCCATACGTAGATATGTATAAAATTCGCTCTAAGGAAATAAAATTGACCCGTGAAAATTCGACTATTTTCAAATTTTGTAATATAACTAACAAACTACAAAAGATAAAAAAATACTTTTCGAACAAAAGATGTAACTTTTAATGAGGACTATTATCTGGTAAGAGATTTATCAATTGTTTATATATGTAATTAGAAAAAAGTTATATATAGAAATATTAATTTTTTAAAAAATAATTCATTTCTTTACGTGAAATTTTAATTAGTAGCTTAAATAATTACGAAATAATATTTAGAAAAAAACAGATACTTTTGTTGGTACAAATACAAGATTTGTTGTATTGCTGAATTTCGTTCTCAGAACATGAAAGTTCTGTTTTCAACATTTTTTTGAAAAATTTCATTACTACAAAGCTTAATTCATAATATTATGTATTTTAAGATTTATTCACATACTCTTTAATTGTGTGTTAAATCCTTGCATTATCTGTTACGTGTGAAGATAAAAGAGAAGTTTGATGACTATATTAAAAGTAAGAAATTCTTACAAAAATAACTTACATATGTGTAACAATTTTTCATTTTTCTTTTTCTTCTTCTCTCTAGTTATCCCTTAAGTAACAAGAGACAGAAGCATACAGGGTGTTCCAACTGAAAGAAATCATTTAAATAACCCCATTGTTTTAAATGTTCTGGAAAATGTTTGTAGCACAATTTAAATATTTTTTCAAGGGGAATATTGTGGAAAAACAATTTTCTATTTACTTCTTTTTTGTTTTTTAGTTTTTTCTTCAAGATTATCCTTTGAGTAGAAAATGTATATTTTTTGTTGTTGTTGTTGTTGCATCTTGTAATAGCTTAAAAAATACATCTGAATGTCTACATAATGATTTTCAGATGATCTTGAAAGCAACCAAAGAAAAAAAGAGCAAATAAAAAATTTGTCTTCCACAATGTTTCTCTTTGAAAACCATTTAAATCGTGCCATAAATATTTTTCATATTATTTAAAATAATGAAGATATTTAGGCCTTCTTTAATTGGGATGTACTATATAATATAAGTTACCATATTTTTGTAAGTGTTGGGAAAACTATAGTAACAAAATTAATTATTTGTGGGATTTTATTTGGACAGTTTTTTTTATTTTAATAGGTGTTACAAAAATTATTGGCCGAAGAACTTCTCTCATCGGCTTATAAATCCGATAGCAAATAGAAAATTAAAAACTGATTAAAATTTATTCAAATATCGCATTCATCACGTAGCATACAGAATCCAAAAGGGGTTCTATTATCGGGGGAAGAAATGCAGCAATACAAGAAACCTTTGCATTTGTAATAAACAAAAATACTTGTTTTGTAATTATGTATTTCATAATTATCAGAACTATTGATTGAGATTTTAAATAAAAAAGATAAATCTCAAAAAATTATTATTTTTGTGTATAACTTTTTGTAATTATGTAAACAATTAATGAATCTGTTATCAGACGATAGTCTTTATTAGTGTTGGATTATTAAATCTTTTAGTTATAAAGGAAAATGAATCTTGGTGTTGAGAGACACTGACAAGTGTATTATTAAGAAAAGGGTCTAACTTATTGTTAGTAACCAGAGTCAATGGGCCTCTGGCCGTATCTAGACCTAAAGGCCTGTATAATAAACACGTTACAGACCCAGGCCATTATTATTCTTTCTGGAAGTGGGCACCAGATTTTCTTCCATGCATTTTCAGAACGCGTTCTTCTTAGCTCAGCCTTCACAGAGTAAAGACGTCATTCCGAGCTTATAATAAATTAGTTTTTTTTTTGAGATAAATATACTGTGTTTTATTGAATTTAAATCCTATAATCTAATAATTAGAAGGAACAAGTTTTGTCTGAAAACTTTTTTTATCTCTTATAGTTTGAGTTATAACACAAAATTTAAAAACAGCCGCATTTTCAGGGGTCGATTTTACCCTGTTAGAAAAAATTTAGATAGCAAAAAAATTACTTTGCACTACATATCCCCAAAATTTCATAATTTTTTGAACTTCCAAGTTGAATATCTTCCTTAGTTAGCATTATAAAACTTTTACATTTAGTGATACGCACCCGCCCACTGGCTGTAGCACATAAACAATAGAAAAACAAAGGAAAGTCAAGCATGAAGCTGAAGAAACACTCGCCATGCTCTTGCTCTTCTATGATGCTTCAAGCTAATTAAACGTCTACCAACCCTGTATAACCAACTACTACCAGAGGAGTAGACTCCAGGTTATTTGCAAATCTTTCTCGCTACT